GTGCACATAAAAAACGAAAACATTTGCTAATCTGTACTCAGGCTCAGAGGGAATTCAACCGCTGATTAGAAAACCCCTGAAAAGGGCTTTTATAATACCAGGAGAATGAGGTCAACAAGGCATATGTTCCAAGAACGAAGAAATCTTTTCATTTGTATAGCAGGTACTATGCGGCAATGTCATTTTTTAAGGCTAGAGAGTTTTTTTGTAACGTACGCATTCATTTTTCATGGATGATGGTCAAGTGCAGCATTCATCTATTAAATATTTTTCAATTTGTGCTGAACAGCCGAACTATGTTACAGCTGTCCCAGTTCCGTAGCCCATGGGCATCATTGCTAAGTTTAACAAGAACTTTTTTTTATCATATGCCATAACGGTAGGAAAAATATAATGGAATACATCAGGACGAAATGCTGTATATATATTGCGCTCAATAAGAAGGATACAAAATAGGTCATGAGTAATGTATATTTTACTTCAGAGTCTTCATGTTATTTTTCCACTTTTTACTAGCCACCCCGCAGAAGGGATTTATGAACTGACCTTCGAAGAAAGCAAGGAAACTGCTGAAAGCTCGAATCAACCCAGTTTTTGGATCTGGGATGTTTAAAGTAAGACGCTATCTTCCAATGGAATCATTCTTGAATGACGTGGCAAGCTTGTATTTGCGTCAAAGCCAGAAGAACAAGAACGAAACCCGAAATCCCCCATGTGTGAGCCCGAAGGGATCAGAGTCGAGTGCAATTCGAAAAATATTAACTCCCTCCGGGAGAAACCAATGATTGCCCCCGGGGCTTCGTACGGTGTGTGTTTGTCATTCTTATTCGGAGCTCGATACAAACTAAGTATCCGTGAAATATGTTTCGACCCATGAACCTTGAATAAGCGAATGTATGCGAAAGACGCTTTTCTGTCGGTTGCACGAACAACAAAAAATGCCCGCGAGGAGAATAAGCCGAGGAAAAATTCAATATGCATCATAGGAAAGCTTTTCCTTTCAGAAATCCCATTGGAATGCATGATTTCATGCGATTTTCGTCCGAAACTTGCGCAATTCTGGGAAATATTTTTAAATCCTCTGGACCTGTATAGAGACGCAAACTTCATGGCAAAACCATCCCGCTTTTTTTCACTTCGTGGTTTTATTTATATGATTTATTCTCCTGCTTTGTGTGACATATGACAATCATGCATCGTGGTGATTGTCCTTGTATTTACTTAGTGCAAAGCCCTGGAAAATGAAACTTGTCATTTTTCAGCATGAACTTCATCATAAATTCCTGCAGCATGCGTCTCGCTTTAAAAAAAAAGCTCCTCAAGAAAAAGGAAGCTACATTCCCGCGAATTGAGAATTTATTCAAACTTCGAATAACCTCAACTTCGTTCAGCAGAGTGGAATAAATATTATTTTTTCGGAGGGGAGAATAATTTCAAGTATTCCTCAGTTTCCTCACATTTTCCTTGTTTTAAAACACATACAGTATTTTGTTCAATATTTTATGTAACTTCAAAAACAGAAGATCCTCCTTTGCTCATCGGAGAGCAAAAGTCGAATATTTTATTTTACACGTGCTATTGAACGATTGAAATTTATCACTCGAAAGATAAATTTCGCTACTGTACTTCTCGACTTTTTTTAAATCTGCTGACGCATATATATAGCGTTTGTTCATGACCATTATCTCGAACGAGCGGAAACAAATTTGTATGCGTGACTCAAGGATTTCTATGAAAAGATAAATCTCGACCCAAGTTAGCACACCTCATTCCGAGAAAATGTATCATGTCACGAGGAAAAAAGTGATGCGCACCAGGTGTTAAGCGCAAAACTTTGAAACTATCGCGGCATTCTCCTAGCCAAAACTGAGAAATTTTTGCATGTCATGAATGTTTGTAGAAATGAAGCAATTATTTCAGCCCAGCAACACAACCATTCCACTTGTTGTCTGGGGAGCATCGACCTGAAAGCGAGACACGTGGGTAGATATTCAAAGATTATCAGTTAGCCAAAAAATTGGAAATCAGAAAATTAGAAGGATAATCATGAGCATTATCGTCACCGATTTCTACTTTTTTTTATTGAAAGTGGCATATGATTCAAGATCAACCAGCTGAAAAATAAGGATGTCCCCAGCATTATGGGTAAAGAATATTAAGAAGTGCTGATTATGTCTATGATTCTTTCCTTGAATGAAATCGCAAAAGTATCGCTCCAACATCATTTTCTTCAAAATTGTGGAGTGACTCATATATTTTTACATGAATTATTTTGGGTTACTCGTGTGTTTTCCTTCTCGAAGGAACTTCCTACATTTGCAGCTATATCTAAAATAGAGTCGTTTGTTCCTTCTTCCGGGAATAAAGTAAATACTTCATTATTGAGGCTTTAGATTATTTAGAAGATCGGATTTGCTAACAATTGAATGGAAGCAAATTTCCTTTGTTCAAGTATGATGGTCGAAGAGAGTCTTTCCTGAGAATGTGAGAAATAAATTGTCGTCACTCTGGACCCCACAGATGAAGGCGGATAATCACATTGTCTTGATGTATTGATTCATACTTTAGTGCCCCCTGTCGGGTGAGGAAGACAAAGACCTTATGGAAATAAGTATAAACCGTACACAGCCTTTAGGAGGCCGGATCCTCCAGAAGGGAGTCCCTTACGCACTCGTTTATTACAGTGCCCACACAACGCTCAAAACAGAACCAAGATCAGAACCCTCAAGATATTTCACTCACACATACAAGTCGCACACACAAGACAAGTCCTCAGGAAGGAAAGTCAGTAAAGTAACCAATCGCTAGCAACCGTACGAAAGCAAGGCTACTCGCAGAGTGACGGCTTCGGAGCCTCGCTGAATTCGATGCGCAGACAATTATAATAATTCTCTTATCTCACCCGGTTCCGCCAGGCGGTAACCGGGTGCCATGCTGGACCTTGGTTCCGGACCCCCCCCCCCCTCTTGCCCCCCCCCCCCCCCCCCCCCCAGATAAAAATGACCACGAGCGAGGAATAAAGGCAATGACGCAGTTGTTCTATAGTGCAGAAAAAAATAGCGGGTGCTTTCAAAGCATGTTGCCCAATGACGCGGGACAGGTGCCAGTTCTGAGTTGCATGTCCATCCTTCAGACAGGAGTTGGTTTTGTCACTTCGACACGACAAACAAACACGACAGCAGCATGTATTCCAAGTGCGAGTCGCTTCTTATGAGGGGGCAAAAAGGGGGGGGGGAAGCCGCGGAACGGAAGTTGCCACTCGATCCCACGACGTCGGGGCCGCACACAAAGGCGACCAGAAACAAGGTCGAAATCTCTGCGCTTTATCGCTTTTTATTTGCGGCTGTGTTTGGCTGATGCGCGCTTACAGCAGAGATTTCCGAGGGCATTATCTGTCCATTCTTACACGTGCCTCGCACAATATTTGAAGGGCCCGCGTTTTACAATGTTTGCGCTTCCTGGCGTGTCAATATTGCCACGGGTTCCGAGACCTTGCCGCGGAAAACCCGGTGTAGAGGAGGCAGGGCAACCACGGACCCCAGCTGCAAACCGCAGAGATCGAACGGCGGATCATGATGCTCGTCACACCACGGTGTTCTTCCCACGGATCTATTTTCGAATCCCCTGCATTTCACTGTCGACAATCAATTTCTGGTGTATATTTTGTTTATCAACTTGCCAACTTAAATTTATATATTGAACCCACTTCCGAAGCAGAATCACCAAATCAAACTATTTTTCCGAATCAATAGCGTTCTTGAATTTCAGGCGATCGTCTGAGAAGACAATTTTTAATCTTTCATCGTGAAGGGTATTGTAGTAATTTCAAGAGTCTCTGCCCATTCCGTCCTACATATTTTAGATACCATCACTAATTTCATAATTTATAAATTCCAAAACACAGCTTGCAATTATTGTTCCAACATTTTCACAGAAAACCTCAAGTGCTTAGCATTTAAGAACCTGCTCATCGGCACTGATTTTCTAGGTCCCTCCATCCAAAATTGTCCGTATTTATTTAAATCGCTTTCAGTAGTTTTTGAAATCTGTCGAGAATTACACTGCAGCATATTTTACGTTCGACATCGGTATCTGAAGCCTATTATTATGAAATGGGTCATGAGCACCGGTTGATGATTTGAAAAAGAGCAATTCTTCGAATTAAACTGGAACAGAATCAATTAAAATTACAACTATTGCAAGTAATACAGTAAAAGGTAAACAAGTCCGCCAGCACATGTAGGCGAATTGTAGCATGCACATGTTTTCATGGAACGAAGTATTTATAGTTTCCCACAGGGATTTCTCGGATTCCCTGAAAATATAGCTACGCATGGAATGTGTAACATTTTCTGGAAAACAAGTCAAAATCGAGGAAACAGCTAGTTTCGGAAGCACTTCTGAAATAACTTTTTCCGAAGATTTCCTGAGAAAAATATGCACACTTGTGGGAAACACTTTGGTGAGATAGAATTCAAATCGATCCTCCAACTGCGAAATTCTTCAGGCGCAGTGTACGTTCAAATGACCAGCGTTGACATGAACATAACGGGAAAAGTCGTGTATGAGTCTTAGGTCTTCCTTGAAAAAAGGTTATGCGTCTCCCACGCTTTAAAACTATTCAATTCTAGCGTATATTTCAAAGTATTTATTATCAATTCTCAAATCCTAGCTAGACAGTTGAAAAAAGCACCTTTGTTTGATTCTTCAGAAACGTGCTGGCAAGAATAAGGAACCTGCTCAGAGTTCAAGAACTGTTGGAAAAGGGCGACATCTTCGAGAGATTCTGAGGAATCCCCTCATTTAATCACTGCATCAAATCCGTTTCTGTGAAGGAACATGTTTGCTTAATATCTTTGCTGCATATGGAACAAAACAAAATATGCCTGTAAAGAAGGAGGAGAAAAATGCTCATGTTATCAGACGTTTTTAAAAACTGATGACAAAATGCGATTCTCGTCAAAATCCACCCTAAGCAGCCAGAGAGTTAACGAAGAGGCTTCTTGATAAAATTTCTCCACATGTTTATTTTCGCTAAGTCAGCGGGAACCGCAAGCGGCTCTCATGACTCTGACGGAAGAGGATCAGACCGGAAAATAAATCGTCACGGGGTCGGGTTGCCTGGGACTTCATCGTCGTCCGGGTAAAAAGCTGCCACGTTGAGCCCGTAATAATCGTCGTCGCCATTATTGTTGCTGCTCCGCTGATCGGAAGCCGGAACTGGAAGCTCCAATGACGCGTGTCCTTCCTGAAAATTGTCATCGCAAGGAGATTCAGTGTTTACAAAACAGCTCTGTTAAATTGGGGAGGAGACTTTGCGGGTAAATTCTGCCTGCTATAAAATATACAATGAGACCCTAACATATACCGACGCCCCGACATACTCGAGAAATCTGCCCCAAAATCTAGTGTCTCGAGGTATGGACAGTCGCCAACATTTATTGAAAAAAATTCTTCAAACTTTTGGTTATACTTGATCAAATTGAGTATTTTTATATTAAAAAAATAAATTAATGCAGAATAAAATTACTCTAATTCATAATAAGAAACTGGCTAATTTTGTAATTTTTCAGTTTTTTCGAATCATTTCTGCACAAGACTCGCTCTTGGTCTTTGTTTCTTGAAATCCTGTTGATGCAAAAAGATCAGATTACATGCGGTTTTCTTCTGAGCAGGTATTTTCTGCATCATCGCGAAGTAGAGAAAAATAACGCTGTTCTATTTTCGAAGAGACTTATTCTTTTTTTTTTATAAACAGGAGAACCGATCAAGTACTGTATGTTTGCATATAGCAGGTCATGGGAAAACGCAATCTGAAATAGAGATGCTCCGAAATAGGGACAAAATCCAAGCAGCAATAATGTCCGCATCACGGGGCGTATTGAATATTGAATTATATTTATGATAAAATTTCTCATCTACAATAAATTTTACTCTTCTAATAGGCGCCGTCTTTTTCAGAAAGTTAGTCCGAAACTCAATTGTATTTGAGCTGTCGAAGGATAGAAGTTATTTCAGTCTCGTGCCTGTTTGCAGTCTATATTTCAAATTATTTGGCATCTGAAAATGATAGAAATTAATGCAAGGGCGTATGAAATGAAAAATTTTCAACCTTTTTTTAGCAAGATTCCGCATTTCTGTAGTTCTCAGCGGTCTTGACTTCAAAATTGATGCATCATCTTCCACATTTACGCATATTAATTTTCGAAAATTTCGTAGTTTTTGTCCCTGCGTGGGCCATGCTTTTCCCACGACTGAAAATCAGTTTTCTACATTTTTCTCTCAAGTTGCTGCCCAAAATGAAATGAAGGCAATAAAGTTAACAATACAAATGGAACAATTACGTAAATACGAAAACGCAGAAGTGGTTTTTTTAAGAGCAACCCAAAGCTCAGTCGTTTACGTCATATACGTGTGAAAGTGCTGTGAGCAAATACCTTAAACAATCAGAGAATGGTTGTAATGATAAGTGATTTATGTCAACTCATTATAGAAGTACTTATCACGGATTTCATCATTTTAAAGGCCTGGCAGTATTTGCATTCCACTTACTGGGTACCCAAGGGCACCAGCAGTCTTATGTACACCTGAGAACCTTTTTACATTCCTTTATCTAAAAAAATGTTTTTCTCACATTCATGCAACAATAAAATCAGCACCCACGAAACCCCTTATTACCTTTAGTGGTATTGGTATTCGAAATGAATCCACAACTGGAATGATAATTCACGCCGGGTGTTATTTTTCTTGTATCTGCACGTTTTGTCTATATAAAAAGTATAAGCTCTAAAACATTGTATCCTCAAGCTTTGAAAACAGTGGTATATCAATCCTTTGAGATTTATCAATAATTCAGTTTTAAACCAACTAAACATCATGCATTTCGGGTGGTCTTCCTTCAAGCTCTACATATCGAAGAGCTTGGTCAATTTTTAAGTCGCTCCGTACAGCACTGGTCTTTATAAGATTAAATTTCTTAAATCAAGGAGAAATTCGACGAAAGCGATCATTTTAAGCTATCTATAAAGCATGAAGCCTCAAACCCAGGAATAGATGCAATAATGTCTTGAAAGTCGTGCAATCCATAAAATAGTTGAATATCACTGTTGAAGCAAATGGCGTCTCGAATCGTTCAAGTGGTTCACTATATATGTTTCCGGATGATTCAGAATTACTTAAAAATTAGAAACAGTCGAAACCTCGGCCATGACGGACTCAACGCATGTTGTAGCCGAGAGCCAGAGTTCATTTTGGCGGCCATGGAATCGAACCAGGAAATCGTAGAAAGCCACGTAGTAGCTACTCTCGTTGAAACACAGTCCTGCAGCTCGGAGGTGATGCTTGAATGATCGCAACTCGGCCCGAACCCGACTGGGATCCAGTAAATACCCACCGACGGGCCACGCGAACACGACCAGGTCTTGCACACGGGTCACTCTCACCGCTGGCTGCCGAAAAATTCAATTTATCAAGCACGAAAATCGCGGAAATAATATTTTTGTGAGCCTATATTGGTGGTTGTACTGCTGCTATAAGCGGCAAACCGATTCAAACTTTGCAGAGGACCACAGATACGTCTGTATTCGGAAAAATCCATGCAGTTCCCTCAATAATCCTCACGTACCAAGGCGTATTTTCAAGACAATTTGCTGAAGTCCTGATCTCGAATTTAGAGCTCTTAAAATTGTTTCAGATTCATAAAAGGATCGCCTAAGTCGAAGAGTTTCCTCGGGACACTAATTGCAATTCCCACGGCGGAGTCCACAATTGTCCCAGGGAATCAAAAGGAAGAAAACATCGAACAAATTTCAAGACTCATGGTGTTCATTTTGCGTCATTTTATGCATACTTTACTTCATTATCAAAACGGGTTGGCCAGCGAGAAAGTTATCGTGAATGTTGTCTGAAAATCCATGCATTTTAGTAATGCGTGTAAAACCGCGGAGAAAATTCATCTCCCACAAAATCCACATTATTTGCTGGGAAATGGGTCTGTTACTTATAAAAGTTGAGCAGCAATTTTCAGTTTGGTAAGATGTGTAATTTTGGAGTTATTCAACAGTAACAGCAGCTTCTTTATAAAAAAAAGACGTAAGAACAAACAGGAGATAGCATCGTGGTGATTAGACAGGGACCGAAAAAGCAAATTTGTTGTGAACGTTGATTCGTTATATTGATGTTCGTTGTAACGAGGTTCTAATAAATCTATGGTTGGTCGTTAACTGCAGCAGAACATGACATGTTGACTCACAGCGGAAGAGCCTCGTTGAGGAGGAGAAGCGTGGAGTCTTGAAGGCAAATACATAGCGACTGTGACGTTGTCTCCACATTTTGCATCACCAGTACTTTCGTGTACTTGCACCAGTCCGACCGGACGCGTCGGCTCAATCACTTCCAATTGCGAATTTATTCCTTGTCAAAATTGAAACACACACGAAAAAAGATGATGAGATTCATATTCTTTGTGATTTTTAAACTTTTGATCGGTTTTGCTCAAGAGTTATTTACAAGACTGAGTCTCCCAAAATCAACATTAAAGGCAGAAAAAACCCGGTAAGGAAAATGGCATGACTCAATTTTCCTATCACCAAAAATTTCTCAGCAGATTATTCATAAGATTAAAAATAGGGGAAATCAGAAGTTTGTTGAGCTTTACCATATTGAGAGCCTTTTGGATATTCTAGAGAATATTTCGAAAAAAGGATCGCGCGTTTCAGTTTTCATGAGAAGCACTTAAAATGAATTGAAATTCTTTCCCAACTTCATTGCAGCTTCTCCAGGAAATTTTATAACTTCTTGAAATAACTTCCTCAGCAGCTAAAACATTTGAAGTCATAATCCTCTTTTACTGAAAAATGTGTGCACTTTTTCAAAACCACAGCATATGTGCTTTTGGAAACATTTTTCATAAAAAATTCTATGCTCTTTTGGACGTATTCAATTTACAGGCGGTACCTTGCAATTTGATCACCCTGCAATTAGTCCATCCTCAATTCAATGGTTGAATTTGCCGGGAGGTTGACTTTCAATTTGATCTTGCCCAAAATTCAACCCACAATGAGACGCAAAATATCATATTTGATGTAGAAATAATGTAATTTGATGTTTTCTTGCAATGCAACTGCTTCACAATTTGACCCTAGTCCAACAATGGATTAGGGTTGAATCGCGGGGCATCCCCTGTGCTGATTATCTCAACACAATATCCCATCAAGGATTAATTAGGCATAATTATTTATCAACAAAGGTTGCGATGAACAATTTTGATGATCAATTCCGAGTTCAGCACTTAAAATAATATTCTTTCAATTTTTTAAAACTTCTTAAAAATTAAATTATTCCCCGCACATTGCTGCGGAAAAATGCGTCTCAAAAATTATTATTATTTAATTTTCGAAAGATTTTTTCAGCAGCATAGTTTCGGAGTTTCCAGGTTAAAATCTTCATTTTTGAAACCCCACGAAAGAACTTTCCGTCAGCCCGTGTTTGATTGCACCGCAATCCACGTGGTCATTCATTCACGTTTCTTTTAGTGTCCCCAAAACGTTGGACTGATGCCGTCTGCTTCTTCGGTTCTTTGTATGAGACACATCTGTACTGATCTGAATGGACTGCTTCCCGCCTACTCACCATGACGGTACAATTGAAGTGGCATGAGCCCTTTCCACACAGAGAGTGCTGTGAATGCGCAATCGGGTGGCGAAGCAGTTGCGAACACTGAGTCCCGATAGCGTCGCTTCTGAATTCCGTGAGTGTACACTGACAACACGTCGAAGGTAGGGCACTCCATTCCTGCAAGGCAATCAATAAGCTATGGAGTGATTGGGAATACCCAGACTACTTTTTACATCAGTCAGTCAGACCACTGGTCCCCGAACCCGTGGTCCGCCGAAAATTTTCTTCAGCATGCAATCTTTTTCAAAAGCAGCGATGAAGTGTTGAAGACATTCGACTGACATTGCTTCATTGGTTCTTAAGTTGATTTTTGCAACAAAAAATAGGAAACTTTTTAAATACCCATCATAAAGTCTTTCAAACGAAAAATTTTTCAGTGAGTATGATTTTTTTTTTCGCCGGTCCGCAAACTATTTTATTGAAATTTGCCGGCCAGCGGTGCAAAAAGGTTTGGGAACACTGTACAGGCTACTAGACCCACATGCATGTATTTTAGTGAGTGAATTTTAACAAGCTTTAGCAAAACATTTCGCCCAGGTTCATTGAAATATTGCAGAAGACACTGGAGATGGAGAACACTGATTTGTCAGGTTCGGGTCAACCGGTGGAACAGATCTGGGACACGATGACGACGGCTTCATTCCGAAAAATTTAATGAGGGTCGCCCTGTTCCATGGGATTGGAAGTGTTTACGTTATGTAACGTGGAAAAGTCTCCGATGTTGGACAGAGTTTGGAAATTGTGTACTGTATTTTTTAATTAAAGCGAAAAATAAAAAAAATTGAGTGTCAAGAGTGTTTCAGCATTTTTATTCTACTGATTCGTGGGGTTCGATATCAAAGGAGAGCTTCTCTTGAGGATTCTGAGTGTATGTAATTAAAGTACGAAGAGTCTTGAAAACAGAATTAAAATTCAGAAGTCGCACTTTCACATCATCCTGACAGGTAGCTGTAAACATTTTAAAATTTTGAACCTTAATTCCCTCAATTCTAAGGCATATCTTTAGGACACCAATTCAACTTCTTAAACTCTCTTTCTCTCATGATCGGCATTTAACGTCCTTGGAAACCACTGAAAATCAGGGGATAGTCCAAATACAAGCTTCACATGCCACTTTTGGTGAAAAAAATTTGCAGATTTGTGCGACATTTGACCGTAAAATTGGAGTCATTTCGCATTGTTCCATCAAGCAAAAGCAAAGCAATCCTCATTTCACGCTTGGTGTGATTATATGAGCATCGATTAATGATGCCAAATTTCAATTCGTTGGAAGCGACCGACTGCTAATATAATTGAAGCCGTTTTGAGGATCCTGACCATTATGCTAATGCGTGAGCCACGATTTCCATTTGTTCTCATTGACAACACTTTTTAAAACTTTCAAAATTGTACGAGTACGTGTGCATACCTTGCTTACGTTTTAGTTTTTGACGAATTGCGTACGAAGTTCTTTCGAATCTCTTATATGCCGGATTGTTTGAATATTTTTGTTTTTCAAAGATTTTCATAGCTATGTTCAATTCAATACTACTGTATATCAAAATCATCCAGTCATCACCCAATCCTTTACTTTGAGTTCTCTTAGATATTATTGTACTGTACTAATGCTTATACAGTACTGTATTGTTATAAAAAGCATTGCAAATTTAGTAATCGTTTATTTCAGTAACATTTTGGTGCGCTTTGATTGATTTTTGGAAAAATATAGTTTCCTTCGTCTTACATCATCGGGTTTTTCTTCCAAATTTGAACAGCACGACTTAACGAATTAGTTCTGCTAGTAATGGGACTTAACGATGATTTCAATGTGCTTAACCATACGAATTAGGTTCATATTCTAATTTCGTATTTCTCTTGATTTATGTTGTGAGTTCATTGAGGAAATTTCTCCGACGTTACTAAATCATGCGATAAATAAATATTGTTTTAAGAAACGTTATGCGGGTTACAAAGGAATCTGTGGCAACAGACTTTTTTTCTACTCCGTGGCGAGTGACCGAATTTGTAGCAAAAGGATATCATTCTTTTCTTGCATTGTATACGCCAAGACGGGTTGCATGGAATTTCTGAACCTTCGTCATCGCGATGGTATATCCGGTGTCAGAACACCCCATTTTATTTTACGAGGGTCCTGGTCGATCATTCAATCCCGAACTCGTTCCACGGGTTGACCGAAACGCTTGCAATGTTATGCGGATGTCCGACCTCTACATAATTTCCGTCGCGTCGAAGTTGTGGCAGGACTGTTGGTGAGAACTTGAGCCGTTTCCGGTGCACTTCCGCTGTTCCGCAAGACACCCGTCGCACTGTATTGGGCCCCATAAAACCAGAGCTCGTAAACTGTTGCCGAGGATGCCAGCAATTCCGTTGAACCCCTGCTAGTTTTACAAAGAAACATTCGTCGTTTTTGCAATAAACGAAAATTTTCCCGGCTAATTTTCGTTACACGCGCGCGCAAATACAGTCAAATAACTTTCAAATAAGATGTCCCGATGTATAAAAAAAACATCTTGAATTGTTGAGTTCAATCGTGATTTCTTTCTACAATTCATTCTGAAATTCTTTTTTAAAATTTGAGTGCTGTATTTTATTGGAAGAATTGACTTTCCCATGACATATAGAAGAGTTTCGCACGTGATCATGAAAATTTAGACGTTGATCATTTGTCTCCGTTTGGGGGGGGGGGGGAGACTTCATGAAGCATTTGAAATTCCATTTTAATATTTCCATTACGGGTGACATAAATGGTGAAATACAGGGAAGCAAGCTTTACTGCTGAGATCTCGGATACTGTGCAAAATGTTGCGAAATCATTATTGTAGACTTTGCGTATGGACAGCATCCTTGAATGGCTGGGGTCATTTTTCAAGAGGAGCATTATTTTCTGAGAGGTTTTACATCAACACTTGAAAGCATGAACCATCCTCCGACACTTGAGTAAGAAACGCGATTATCTCGTACTTCAAAAGACACGAGGAAAACTTGAAAATGAAAAAGTGAAGACTCACGAATCGTAAGAGGCCAGAAAGACGTATCTGTCGAAAAAAGTGTGCCCATGCTGACGCATGGCCAGGGTCAAATTTGCTGCTGCAGAGCGCAAAAATGAGTCAGTCAGGTCCCAAGGAAAGCATCTCCATGTTCTTGCGTACACAACGTGCTCCTGCACTGAGTCCACAAGGATCTGCTACTGTGCACGATGGGATTTGACAGAAAAATAATAACAGGGAACGTTTCAAAATAATCAAGATGAGAAAAGTTGAAGGACTATGAACTGTATTATAAATGTCGCAAAAAATGTAGCCGGTGCACCGCGAAAAAGGAAGTTTCAAAATATGTTTTTTTCTTTTATCCATGATGGTCGACAACTTTCCAATGACGAACAAGATAAGACCATTCAAGAATGGCATTGAAAAATTAACTGCGATTCAGGTTCAGGTTTTGTTCTCATATTTATTCATATCAGACTTTCATGAGTCTTTTTTTCTTTACTGACTATAATATATGCTACGAATACCCACAGCTGACTAAATTATTTTCATTGTATCTAAAAATCGTGGTAAAACAGACATTTTCAACTTATGCCATAATTTCCCACTGGATCGCTGAAAAAGTTAATCATAAGTCGCTGAAAAATGAAAATATAATTTTTGAATGCTGACTTTTCTTTTCAACTCCAAGAATGTTAGTGCTAAACTAAAAAAAAAATTGCATTTCTTGCTATATTTCTGCATGAAATATATAAACTTATTATCATACGTTGAGGTGTAACGCTCAAAACTGTTTCTTGAAATGACAGTGAAAGTTGAGAAATAAAAAGAATGAAATAAGTTTTTACCTCAGCAGATGAGCAACTAGTTTCCTGTATGTTTTCTACAACACGATACAGCATTATACGTGTACTTCATTCATGAGTCTCATGCACTACTTGAGTTTGAAAGTGATTAAGAATAATTATCTTGAAAATGTGTTTTCTTGTAAAGGAGTTCGGAAATATTTTTCTTCTGATTATTCACGGATCAGCGAGAGTAAAAAATCGTCGTACCTGCTCGGCTGCAGCTTGACGAGTGTCTGCGTCGAGTTCACGAACGTCACCTACGAGCGGCGAAGAAACTGTGTAGTCCTCAAGTTCACGGATAACTCCTGGATGTCGCGCGTGTTTCATTTGCAGCACGATTGGCTTCCCCATCCTGACTGTGGCTCCAGCTGCAAACCGAACAAAAATTATTTAACCTCGCTTGTATAATTAATTCCGCATGCACGGAATTATAAAACTGGATAACATTTTCCCGTCTCACCTAACGAGTTATTCGTGCTGCTTCGAATCCTGGAAATAAATCCAACAAGGCGATGGTGACCCTGCAAAGCAGCTAAAACGCGGTTCGGCGTTACCAAGACCGTGGACAGCCATGAGCTCTGCGCATATCTGCGGACTTCGTATTCAGAAAAACGTGCCAACACCTGAAAATTAAATATTTCAGGCAAAACAGAATACATTGCATGCTTCACGGCTTGATTGCAAAGCTGACCGAAGCTGAGATAAGATCTTGAGCAATAAACTGCATATATTCTGAATTTCAATAACTTCGAAATGTCGCTCGTCATCTTCAGCTTATTCTACAAATACTCTATTGCCAGATCAATTGTCATTGCGTTGCCATCAGCAATACAAATTCCTTGTTAATTTATTTCAAGATGAAATACTGTATATGCAGTTTATGGTTCTGCGGAATTGTCGACATGCTGTATATCTGGAAAAACATATCCTGCAGCCTTTAACGTAACTATACACATGCGTTTGCCTATATAGCAACATGAATACGGCCAATATACTAGGCATTGAATATATTTGCAATCTATTAAGGTTATTCTAAAATGAATGTTAATCCTATCCTTCTTCCTTTAGATGGCAATCATTCACTTTCTTATTCTCATTCGCACCTCAACCTCGAAAAAAGCATGATATCTACACTTTTTTCATAATAGTGTACAGTATTCCTCCTCAGGAAAATTATTTGGCTTTGCCCGCATTTATAGGCCGCATCTTCGCAAAAATAATTTAATTTATTTTGGCTACTTTACTGGCAGCCAACTCTCAAAATAACTCCTCAAAACCAGGTTGTGGCCTCAATGCGGTATCAGACACACAAGCGAAAACCAGAAAGCCCATATCTTAGAAATCAGGAATGTGCCAATGTGGTGATATTATTTTCAAAACATGGTGGAATACTGTACGTATTCGTTTACCAGCCGCTTCTTCGCGAAATTTGGGGTAAAATAATCGGGCATGTTTCATATTTTAGTGTACAATACAATGCACAGGACTGACTCACTTTGTAAGGCAAGCAGTTGGTGTCGAAGTCGCAGGGTCGAGTTGCAGGCAGTTGCCGCAAGCAGCCGCCGTTTTCCTCCGGGTCTGACGCGAACGACGCCGTCGGCGGCTCGTTGATGACGTCGGCCGCCGCCGCTGTCGGCCGCCACGAAACCCCGCCGGCGACGCAACAGCGGCACACGAGCACGAACAACACGTGCGCCGCCCTCATCGAGCAAATTTCGGCTAAGAACTTCCGGTCATACCCGGAAACGGATCACGTGGAACATCGACTATTTCAATAGCCGGATTTCGTGACAGGGGCCACGCCGACGAGGAGCATCTTTTGACAATGATCTGAACCGTGAGATTCTGAACAATATTCAGACTTGGTATGCGATAATGTGGACAAAATCCTGAAACAGGTTATTTTTTTTATAAGAGGTTTTTTCGACTGTGGTGCCTCTTCGTTAAAATTCCCTTCGATCTAGATGAAATGTCTATTAGCAGAGTACTATTTATTAAAATAAAACGACCCTGCCTTCGTAATTTCAGTCATAATACTGTAGGTTAGATGAATAAGCCTTCAAAGAATACTGTATAAAACACCGAACAAATTCAGAAATACGTGGAAGTCGCTTTTGAACACAATAAAGAAAATATTGTCAAACCTTTCTAATCTTCCTGGAAAATTTAGCCGAATTTCCCAATGCAATTTGTGTGTGTGTGTGGGAAATCACTTTTCATCTTGATTATTATCCCAATCGCAGCGCTCACTTTCCGACGCCACAACAAATTGTAGCCCGAGGCTATCGATTGAAAAATATATGCGCAGGGTCCATTGTCCAGTGCTTTATCCTCCAGTGGCTCAAACTTATTGAATGTCTTTTAATAGGAAATAAGCACACGAATACATTTGAATACTGTACAGCAATGCACTGTGATATACAGCAGATCGAATTTGCACGGTATTACTCCAAAAGTGTTCGTCAAAATAAGCAGTTTGCTTCCTATTCCCTTGAGTAACAAACATAGGATTATTATCAGCTTTCAAAAATATACTGGGGCAATTTCTCCAAAAATATGTTGTTCACTGCTGTCCAACTTGGACGAAAAGTGTTGGACTACCTGTGGAGGAGCTTTGATCAAATTGGATTCTTTTTTGCTCACTGGACGTTTGCATGTAGAATAAAATCATTAAATATTACGAAAAAATGCCAAGATTTATTGTCGATACATGCCTTCATTTCACGATTATCTGGATTATCAAGTCGCATGGTGATTACCGAGATGAAGTCAATCTGCTGATTACAATTTTGCGAGTCCATCAGCACTCCCATCGTTTTACTACTTTTTCTGCATTTTCAATTCTTTATTTCATTTATATCGCAGTCTCACGCAGGATGTGGATTTCCCCTCTGTTGCATGAATAATTCACTGTTATTTTGCAACTCCGGACCCGGAAGGAGAGGGAATCCTGGGTACACAAGGAAGTGTTTGCCGAGGGCTTTCAAGCAACCTTTGTTTGGGAAGTGCAGATTTTCTAGAATAATTTGCATATACGGAAAAGTCTCACGGTTTTTCATAAAGAAAGGAAATGCCTTCACTCGGAGATTTCAGAGACGATTTCTTCTTCCCACGAAGGGATGACGACGTGACTTTCGCCACATAAACCAGCGTGGAATTGAATTCAGTTTTCGAAAAGGAAGTATATATAGGCACGCCGGAAGGAAAAAAGGGAAATGCGCGCGACAGCTTGACTCCGAGTGCGGAACTGAGGCGCCTGAGGGGTGGGACTCATCTGCTTTGCGCAGCCGCCTCCGCAGGATCGACACCCGACACCACAATACGCGACGGCTGCATAAACATAACCCCGCAGTTAACCTCATTTTGTCTGTCGGTTCGCCTAGGGTTCTGCGCCTAGCTGGGTGTGTGGTGGTTTTACGTTTAAGGGGAATATGGGTGAGGAAATCCCCGTCTTTTGCTTTTCATATTGATACGCCATGACCTTGCTATGAGTCAACCTTCCAGAGGTCAAAGCCTCGGAATAAGTCTAATCACTGCACTTAGTGAGTCACAAAAAAAAAAACAATTTGATTTAGGTCTTAGCAACTCAGACTTGACATCAGTCAAGTTTTCCAAGGCCCTCATGTTCTTACTCCAGGCAACATTTACGCTTTCCACAAAAAGTGACACAGAAACCATAGACCATTAAGAAACCTTAATGCATTCTTTGAAAAGTATTTAGCGATTTCACTTATAGGATGTATAATTTGAAACACAAATAAACAGTTGACAGTATAATCGTGTTACAATAAATCTCGTTATGACAAATAATCACTTACAAAAACGTCATTTTGGGTGTCTGTCCAATAACAAAAATGTTAATTTAGTTACTTTGTAAATGTTTGATTACAAAAACGTTATTTACAGCTTGTCCTGATTGCTTTGTTGTAAGGATATTGTACTGTATTTACCTGGCTGGCAAATGAACTTTTTTTTTAATGAAGAGGGAACACTTTTGGAGTTTATTAAAGTGTAGGTGTATATAATACCTCATACTTGAGTCAGTCGTGGATAATGTAGAACCAATATTCCTAAATTTTAATTAAAATAGAAAGCACTTGAATTTTGTTTCAATCCAAGTCAAAATTAAATTGATGAAGGATTCTATGTTTGACATTTACAGTACTGTATTGCTGTTTTTGAGTAACAAAAAAGCCGGGGTGCTCTCCAGATTAAGGTTTAGTTTTTCATTCAAATTGTATGCTCAATGCAGGTGTGCGTCTGACTCATGAGAACCTGGTACTATATTTGCGTAAATCTGGTAAGTGAAAAAATTGTCCTGATGAAATTACTTTCCGATTAAATTTTCCTTGAGTCAGAAACTGTGAGTTAAAATTGCTTCCTGTCATCCCTTGGATTTCGAATCAGTACTATATTTGCGTAAATCTGGTAAGTGAAAAAATTGTCCTGATGAAATTACTTTCCGATTAAATTTTCCTTGAGTCAGAAACTGTGAGTTAAAATTGCTTCCTGTCATCCCTTGGATTTCGAATCAGTAAAGGTCCAAATGTATCTTCTTTTTTTCGCTGACAAGTCCTCGCACATCAGTTCTCATTTTGCGAAACATATGGTACCAAGTTATTACGATTGATGAAATAAATTGTAGACTATCATGGGCTGGTATGAAAAACCATCGAGTGCATTTTCCAACATTTTGATGGCCAATTGAGTGTCACGGAAAAATGTTGCAGCCATCAGCTCCGCTTTAAATTCCAGAACCTAACTCTGTGTTGACGAGAGTTTCTTCAAGCCAGATGCCACGTTATGCGATGTGTATCATCATATTTTCTAAGAAGGAAGTGTTTCTCGTTCATGCAAGATTCTGATTGGTTCCAAATTCCAGCAGAATCTTGCATAACACCTGCCAAAAGGTGCCTATAGCAGCATGTGCAACCAGCAGTGGTATGGTTACCAACGTCTGAAAAGTCCTCGCGTATTGAACTCCATATTAGATTCTGGTAGGGGGATTTTGAAAGACGGATTTTTTGTTTTGTGTTCAACTAGTACACAATATCCTCAATACTTTTTTGCCTCTGAAATTGCGTCATTTCTTCTCAGTGAGAATTTCGTCTCGCGTCATTCATTCGCTAAGGCTGCTTCTCTCTACGTCGTTTTCTCTTCACATCGGGAAAAGAAAAAAAATATATACAATACTGGATGCAGTGTGCAGAAAAATTTTCAACGCATCTGTGATTTTTCATCCTTTTATGGTAAATTCAATTCTGCGATGTAAACCGACTTTCTTTCAAGCATAATCGTTTTCCACGGATTATATTCGCCTTCTGTATTAGGGTCCAGTATAGCGATGGCGCGCACAAACGATGCGCTGAAAAATTGAAGGCGAAAATTAGCAAAATTAGTGCAGTACAGTACTCCTTTCTTAATTCTGAGCAAAGTTTTTTGCGAAAGAAGAGCGGAAAATCGCAATTATTCCACCGCGATTGTGGGCAAGCATTAATGAACTTCCCGGGATGATTTCATGCGAACTCATCTTCCGCGATGCAAGAACGGAATGAAATGCAATGAGCCCTAGTTTTGCTTCCTGGCATATCACGGTTTGAATTTGGCGATTGTGTAAAAAAAATATTTGTGAGTCAGGATGATTTCATGCGAACTCATCTTCCGCGATGCAAGAACGGAATGAAATGCAATGAGCCCTAGTTTTGCTTCCTGGCATATCACGGTTTGAATTTGGCGATTGTGTAAAAAAAATATTTGTGAGTCTTATTCCAAACTCATATGCCATTTCTTCGGATGAAAAAGGCGTTTATTCAAGGGCTACTGAAAAGCATTCAGTGAAAGTGGAAATCCGCAACTGGATTAATGACATGATGCATTTTCCAGATTTTGGCATGAAAATCAGCCTTAAATTACGAGTATAATCACATAATGCTGTACAATATTTTATTCACTTCAGTACCCTGATTAGAAAGCATCCATGATTAAAAAGAGCATGCATATTTGTTTGCGAATCATGCGTTGCTGAAATTTTTGAGAAATTTGCTTATGTACATAAGACATATATCAGCGATTTGCTTTCTTTGATCAAAAAATGTTGCACGCAAGTCCAATTTCATATATATTATAGAATTCAAATCAACAAGCTCAGAAAAAATAAATGTAAAGAAATATAAAGGTAGACTTTTGTGCGATCATAAGAAGTCAAGTTTGTCATTACTCACGCAGCGAGGCTGACATTGGGTTCCAAACTTCCGAGGAGCAATTTGAAATAAGTTCTCGGTTATTAATCGAGACAATAATGATGGACTCTGCACTATTTCATTCTAATCTCAAGATGAATCGTGGCAAATTTTTGAGAATTTCTTTACTTATATACGCGCAAAAATTTCTTGAAGGGACATTCTCCATTGTTCCGGCGGATGGTTGATATCTCCGATCGTGGCGTGTGTTCCTGAAAGCCAGAACCCGGAAACCTATATACACCAGTTCGCGATAAGAACATTTCCTATCCTTCAGATTTTTAGAATTAAATCAGGCCTAACGGGAATTTATGATTTCCCGTTGAATCAGGAAGATTATATAGCTGAACCGTTTTTCGAAAATATGTGCGAATAACTAAATTCGTTCGAAGCCAAACACCTGAGTCTAGAGTGTCTAGCTAGACCATCTCTAGAGCAGATGTTTTTAAGGCTCATGAACTTTCAAAGTCGCTCACATTACCCAAACTTCGTGTATGCAAAAAATAAAACGAAGACTTTCAAGCGTGAAATTTTATTCAAAGAGTTTATACAAAACGGAAGCAAAAAAATGCGCACCCTGGCTTAAAC